CAACAATTTGTGAATCGTGTTCATGAAACTGGTTCACTAGTAGATAAAGCAACACATAAACGTCCATTTCCAACAAGATCAACCAAAAATATTGCCGCTATGAGTGATAGTGTTTGTTAAGGTCCATCGACATTGATAACATCAATATCAAGAGTTAAACCTTTCACGGTCAACTTTGTACTAAATTTTACATAAAGATCTTGCTTTGAAGGCATACAAAGTTCAATTAGGGCATCAGCTAAAGCCAATTGACCATCCCAGCTGTCTATGCTTTTCAAATTGGGCACAAGATTGTTTGGAAGAAGACCCCGAATTTTACCAAAAAATCATCTCAGACGAAGCTCATTTCCACCTTGATGTTTATGTTAATAAACAAAACTGTCGCATTTGGGGATGCGAAAACTTGCATGTCATTGAGGAGAAGCCAATGCATCCACAATAAGTAATTGTTTAGTGCGGTTTTTGGTGAGGCGGCATCATTGGCCCATTTTTCTTTGAAAATTAGGCAGGAGCCACAGTAACCGTCAATGGTGAGCACTATTGAACCATGTTATCTGATTATTTTTTTGACCAAATTAAAGCCGAAGACTTTCACAGATTTTAATTTCAACAAGACGGTGCTATGTGTCATACAGTCCACGTTACAATTGACCTTCTGCGCACTGTCTTTGAAAATCAAATGATCAGCAAAAATGGTGGTGTGAATTGGCCGCATAGAAGCTGCGATCTGACACCGTAAGACTATTTTCTTTGAGGAACAGTCAAAGTTGTATGTTACACCAAGCATCCAGAAACGATTGGCGATTTGAAAAATGAAATTGAAGCTGCGATTGTTGCAATTCAGCCGGAAACAATCGAACGTACTGAAAAATTGGGTTGATTGAATGGTGTACTGCCAAGTCAGTCATGGTGGACATTCAAATGAAATTATTTACCATAAATAAATGTCATGAAACAACCTTTCAAATAAAGCAAATTCTATTGAAAATCTATCAAGCCGTTTTTCTTTATAGCCTTTACAAATTCGAAATTTTCCGTGGGACACCCTGTATATATAACAAATAAAATTAGCCCCAAAACTCAGCTTAAAACTTTTTTCCACTCTGATGTATGCTAACCTAAATCCACTCTTTGTCTTTTATTAGATAAGAAACAGTTAAGGCATTTAAGTAATTTATTTTAAAAGCCATAATTTTGTACTTTGCGCATTAATTTTAAGTGTGATACCTTATCAAAGTCTTTTGAGTGTGATACCTTATCAAAGGCTTTTGCTAAATCAAAATAAATAACATTTACTGAAGTATTATTGTTTAAATGGTTTGATATTTCATTGGTTGTTTCAAATGGGTTGATATTTCATTGGTGGTTTCAAATGGTTTGATATTTCATTGGTTGTTTCAAATAAATTAGTTATGCAAGATTTAAAAAGGACAAAACTGATTTTTATTAATTAAATTTTTTTGCAGAAGATAATGCATCATTTTATCACTAATTATTCTTTCAAACATTTTGCAAACAATTGACGTTATAGATATTGGCTAATAATTTGCCGGATCTAATTTACTACCACTCTTGAAAATAGCTGTCACATTATTTTGTATTTGTCAGAAACTATTGCATCACTGTAACTTTTTTTGAAAATTAAAGATAGTTGATATTTTACACTTTTTACATTATACTATATACAGATTTATTTGATGATAAATATTTGAACTATAGTCTTTTTATTCAATTTCTTTCTTTTGTTAGCAATTGGGACACAACGTTTGACCGAACATTTATTGATAGCACAAAGTTTGAAACTGATTTGTAGCTTAGTTTTTGTAAACAATTTATAACATTTACTAGAATTTTTATTTAGAAATGTCTGCCAATCAACTTCATTATAAAACCTTGTGTTTGTTTAAAAAATTTGATTCAGAGGAATATTCACAATAAAATCTCATATGATGACATTAAATCCTCTAAGAAAGACTTGTGTTTTATTTCAAGAATTCTATTTTTTATGTTAATACGTGATAACATTGAATCTCCAAGAAAGGCTTGTGTTTTATTTCAAGAATTCTATTTTTTATGTTAATACATAATGACATTGAATCCTCTAAGTAAGGCTTGTGTTTTATTTCAAGAATTCTATTTTTTATGTTAATACATGATGACATTGAATCTCCAAGAAAGGCTTGTGTTTTATTTCAAAAATTCTATTTTTTATGTTAATACGTGATGACATTGAATCCTCTAAGAAAGGCTTGTGTTTTATTTCAAAAATTCTATTTTTTATGTTAATACATAATGACATTGAATCCTCTAAAAAAGGCTTGTGTTTTATTTCAAGAATTGTGTTATTTTATATAGTTATAATACGTCTAAAATATTTTTTTTAATAATCTTGTTTAGTTAAAAGTTGGCTTAAAGACCATTTGAAATGAAAAACAATCATTTAACGTTGTAAAAACTTTTTTTCTTGCCGAATGTTTACTAAAACCATATTTGTTCCATTTTATTTTTGAAAAATTAAAGTCTCCATTAATTTGAAGACAATTCACTTTTTTTCTACTCACTATTTTTTTTTACTTTAAAAATTATTTGTCTAGCTATTTCTAGTTTCTTCTATATTATAATTCTGCTGCTGCATTTGGTAATCTATATTATAATTCTGCTGCTGCATTTGGTAATCTATATTATAATTCTGCTGCTGCATTTGGTAATCTATATTATAATTCTGCTGCTGCATTTGGTAATCTATATTATAATTCTGCTGCTGCATTTGGTAATCTATATTATAATTCTGCTGCTGCATTTGGTAATCTATATTATAATTCTGCTGCTGCATTTGGTAATCTATATTATAATTCTGCTGCTGCATTTGGTAATCTATATTATAATTCTGCTGCTGCATTTGGTAATCTATATTATAATTCTGCTGCTGCATTTGGTAATCTATATATGCATTCTAGTATATTTAAGAATATTTAATAGATCTTTTAATAAAAATACAAACACTATCCCTTCCTCTTCCATCATTACGGTCTCTACTATACATATTGTAGCAAGGTTATTCTAAATATGAATTTGATTTAAACTAAACCTGGTCGGAGTTGTAGGAAATGATCTCCTTTTTTTTTAGTTTTTTTTATTTATTCTTTTTATTTTTTAGTTTTTTAGTTTTTTTTTATTCCTTTTATTTAGTTTTAAAGAGTTTTTGAAAATTGGAAGCACATGTGTTATTTTACAGCATCAGAAAAACAAGATTCAGTCAAGCACTTATTAAATAGTTTATAGAGAATTAAAGAGTAGTCAGGAAAGCACTTTTGTAAGACTATGCCAGGAATGTTGTCTGGATCACAAGTTGTAGAAGAGTTTAATTGAGAAATGAGAGAAACTAGAGTAATTTGGATGTCTAACAATGGGTTAACCTGTTTGACTAGAATGGCAGAAAGAGTATTGCCATTAGATTCAAGAGTCGAATTAGAAAAAAAGTTTTTTGCAAATAGTTTTGCCTTATCCATGGGAAAAGTAATAAGATCAGAATCATAAATTAAAAATGGAATGTTTAACTTAGCTTTGTTATTGACACTATTGAAGGTTTTCCAAAAATTTTTAGAGCTTCTGTGATAAGATACGAGATTTAGTAAACTGGGAATAACAGAACTTAGCATCAGACGTCTTTTTACATTTATTTTTTTGCGATTATAAAAAGGAGCTTGTTCTCAAAAGAGTTGTTTTTTTGAAAAAGATGAAAAAAAAAATGATTATAATTAGATATAGCTAATGATATCCTAGTCAGCTTTAGTCCAAAAAAAAAAATACAGATTAAAGTCTGAAAAAAAATACAAGATGAATAATTTATAGAGATCATTGCATGGTTGGAACCATTTGTAGGAGCGCAAGGAGAAATTGGACTGGAGGGAAGGTAAGTGATTAGGGTTATCTGTACGAGTCAGAAAGTGAACTATCTGAATAAGAGATTGAGAAATATAGAAATTATGGGTTTTAGTGCCAGTAGGGTCAGTTAGAGGCAAGTCATTCAGTGTCATGAGCATTAAAGTCAGTAATAACAACAATATTGGCAGAGGCGTAAGTTTGATAAGAAGTTACATCTAAAAGAGTGCAGCCTTGAGAAGAAGGAGAACAATAAAGAACACAGAAAAAGGTGAAGAACACAGAACAGTAGAACACAGAGAAAGGTGATAGAGTGAAGAGGTGCTAAGCGAAAGCACATCAAAGAATGGTCAAATGATTCAAACTTAATTTCTTAACAAATAGGTGAATTGATTCGTAAATATATGCTTCTAGTTCTCTGAAATTTTACAGCTGTTGATGATATCAACCTCTCTGAGAGCTACCAGAGAGTTTGTGAAACCTTACTACCAGCCGGCCTCAGAACCACTAAACTTAGTAACACAGGTTTAGATCTACGCCAGCCTAAGAGATGAAGAAAGGAAAGTACTCAGCCCAACCGATATTTAATTTTTTAGTTATTTAGGCTCATAAGCTAAACAATAACTTTTTAATAAAAAAAAATTTATGTTCAACTCAACCAACTCTATCTCTTTATTTGATGATGCACACAAAAATCTCTGTACGGTTAGAGATACAGCTTTGCATCTCTAACCGTTCTTGTGTTATTTATTGCTGCGTAGGTGCTCTTTTTGTTACCGCAGACCAAAAAACGGTAAATTTAAAAAATTAAATAAAAAATCCATAGTTTTATAAATTTTTTTTTTATATTGTAGCCAAATAGTGAGTTTATTGATAAAAAAAATTCTAGGATTTTAAGGCAACCATCCTAAGTCTGTTATTATTACCAAAAAAATTATTTGATATGAATATAATTTGTTCTTAAAACATTTAACGAAGTTTTAGAAAAATTTTATTTGCCAACCGTTAAGTCATTTATTCAATTTTTGTTTATGACTTCAACAATAATGATTTTTTACACAATTAATTTAGTAATTATTTGATTTTCAAAATTAGTCTAAAAAATTTTTTGACTTCAGGTGCGTCAACAAGATAAACTATTGCGACAATATCAAGTTGAAATAAGACGCTTTCAAAACGAACTGAAAATTGAGGCAGAAAAAAACGAAGCTCTGCAGAAAACACTTGATAACCAACAACATTTTATAAACGAGTCTAAAGAAAGTATACCGAAACGTAAAAAGACTATTTTTAATCCAAAAAATAATCGTTTGGATGAATTATAAATAAAAATTTTATTAAAGTTTTTTTATAGTAGGTTATTCGTTTTATAGTAAGGTTATTCGTATTTTGCATTCATATTTTTAAAATTGAACTTCAACCTTGATTCAAAAGTTTATAATTCAGGTAAAAATAATTTCGAGCATAAAAATAATTCCTAATGATAATTTTTAGGGTCCATGCTGGCATAATTTAGGGCCAAAAGTGCGTGGTATTTCAAACACCTAGCGGGGGCCTAAAATTTATTCTAAAAATTTTATTAATGGTATATGTTAAGCTAAACAACAACAAAAAAATGATACGTGGAATACGTAAAAAAAAAATTGTAAAAAATAAATAAGTTTGTAAAATCTTTAAAAATTGGTAATTTTGTTTACTAACAAAAATTTGTTATGCCTCAGGGGTGTACAAAAAACTATTTGAGTTTTTTAATAAGTTATATTCATACTGTCCATTTAATATTTAAAAAACTATGTTTATAATTCACTACTTTATTATTAAACAAATAAATGATATTTGTATATTATATTAATTTTAAAAAAGTAAGCTCGCCAGGTCTTATTGGAAGGTTCTTAAGCTCAAATTTAATACATTATAATTGCGACGCTATCAAGTTTTTTTGTAAAGCAATCAAATAAACTATACAAGCTGGGATCTTGTTATCTATGTTACTTGTCTAGCTTTTGATACAATGCAAAAATTACGGTTGACTTGATGCAAGGCACAAAAATAGCGGAAAAACCTAATTGCGCAGTTTAGCCTGGATAGTGACTCATCATAATGTTTATGAATTTATATAAAAGTAAATACTTTTGAAAAAATATACAAAATAATTTGTAACGTGTGAATATGTCTAAATCTATGCAATAGCATCTTTGCTAAATCGTAACGTTATTTAACTAAATAATACAATTAACAGGAATTTATCTACAACAAAAAGTTATCTTTTTGTCATCTTTTGATCATTAAGAAAAATTACTTTGAAAAATATGGAGTATATAAAAGGTTTGTTCTTATTTGCTTTGCTTATAAATGCCTACTTGTAGATGAATTGCCCATAGCTTATATTCAAAATCAATGCAATTTAGTTATAACATAGAAATGCATTTAATATTTTTGTCAATAAAATAAATATTAAGAATTGCGCTGGAACCAAAAAGCTCGGTTTATTAAAAATAAAAAGTTGACTAAGTATCTACTCTTAAAACGGAGACTTATTTTAAACTAAGATTTTAGTAACAGTGTTAGAAATAATTAGTTCCATATTTAGCAAATGTTTGATGTTTGAAGAAACAAGCAACTGTTCCTAGCTCTGAAAATCTTATACAGTCTTAGTTCCGTGCATCTTGAGATTCTTCCGTGCATCTTGAGATTCTTCCGTGAGCTGGCTAATTATAAGAATACTTTTTACTTCAGAAGAATTAATAACTTCATACTCCAGGTTTTGGTCTACAATAAGTCTTACTGTTTTTAAAATATTTGTTTAATATTCTTCGAATGCTGTTTGTCATTAAATTTATTCTCATCTCTTCAAGCTTTTTTACGTCCTAATGGTAGCTCACATGTAGCAAGCATTTGAAATTACAAATTCAAACGTATAAGGTTGACAAACCAAAATCTTAATTTCGACCATAGCTTCAAATTTACCATTCATAAATTTTGTACAACACCACACCTATAACATTTTTGTGTAGAACGCGTGTTAGTTAAAGCATTACGTACTTTTCCGTCTGTCACCGTTGGTAACGAAGTTTATTTCACATAAAATTAAATTCACCAATTGTTTGCAGTATTGAAAAATATTTATATATTTCTTTTAAAACTTTGTTAATTTTTATTGAAGTCAATTCTGTATTTCTTTTGTAAATATAAATTTAATTGGTAATTAATTGTAGATGATGGCTGTGAATTTTGCAAAATAATTTTGTGACAGCTATCACTCAATCTCAACGGAACAAATTCAAACAGAAACTTATCAGTAGCATCGAAACAGTGGTCAGAACTTCCAATTCATCTTTATTTGCTTATTAATGTAAATGATAAATAAAAATTTTTTAAGAAACTGACTAAGTAGTTCAATTATACGTTCAGATGTTTTATTCAATTTCAGCGTTTCTGACACAGAAATAAAATATTCTGGAGTGAAACACAACTTTTTAGATTTGCATAATTTATTGTAAGGCAGAAATACTGTCTTGCCTTAAATTATTATTTTATAGCCAACCTTGAGACCGAATTTTTTGTTTGTTAAAATATAGTACTGAGGTAAACTTAGATTAAATTCTGAATTATCGCCCTCTAAAAAGGTTTAACTTTCATTTAAAAAGTTTTTTTTGTTCTATCAACTGTAATCCACTTTTTTTTGCAAATTAGCATGTAGGCTTGTTAATTTTAATTGTATTAAAAATAACTATTAATTGTATCTCAGTCAAAGAAGTCTTAAAGTAAAAAAAAAAATGAGCCAATTGACTATTCCGTGCTCAATTAAAATTGAAATTAACTAAATTACTTAATTAAAAAACTCAATTAAGTTACCCTCCTCAATTAAAACTAAAGTATTACTTTATATCGCTACCTTACAATCTTGTTCTAACTATTGGCGATTCTAGGAATAAAATAGGGGGAGCTAATCTTTAAAATTGCTAACCGACTATATTTCTGAAAAAAACGACTATAACTTGAATATCGCCCTTATCGAGAGATATAATAGCTCTTCATTTGCCTTCATCGAGGGGTATAATAGCTCTTACTAAAGGGAAATTTAAATCAATGTGAATAATTTATTTCATTACATTTCCCTGACTAATATAACTAAAATTCTAAGACAAATTAATCGAAAAAAAATTGCTTTTTTAATAAAGAAATAAAATAAAAAGCTGTAAACAACTTTGATATAAGTAGGCCTTTAAATTACTACAGCAATCTAATCATTAAATGCAAGTTTTATAGTAAGAAAACGTGGTCCGTCATAATGACGTAATGGTAAGAAGAAAAAAAAAATTCAACTTCTTTACCAAAAAGAAATAGTATTAATAACACTGACATACTCTGCAAAAAACAAATTTCTCAAGAATTTAACAAAATATTTTATAAATATTTGTCCAAACCTTTCTAATAAAATAATTACAGTATCTGATTCATTTATAAACTACCAAAATCCACAAATAACGCTATCGTGTATCGTACTACCAAAACCCACAAAGAACGCTATTGTGTATCGTTCTATCAAAACCCACAAAGAACGCTATCGTGTACAATAATTAATTTAACTATAAAGAATTTGACGAAGCGTTTTCCTCTTTAAAAAAAGAAAGCACCAGGGTTTGATGAAATATCTAGTGATATAGTAATCTTCAACAAAATCGGCCTCTGATCCATATACTGAAGCTCTCAATAACTTCTGGGATTTTCCCTGATAGACTTAAATTAGCAAAATTAATTCTTATATTTAAATGTAATCAACATTCGGACCTAACCAACTATAACCTATATCAAAATTTTCTGTATTTTCAAAACTTTTAAACGTGTAATATATAATAGAATTTATATTCACTTCACTTGTAACAAATTATTTTACCCAAACCAGTTTGGATTTCAAAAAAAATTTCTTAACTGAACATGCAATCATTGAATTAATTAATCAAATAACTAATGGTTTTAAACAAAATAAATTTACATAAGGTGTTTTTATTGACTTATCAAAAGCATTTGATACAGTTGATCACTGCATCAGATAAACTAAAACATTACGGTGTAATTAATAAAACTTAAAATTGGATTAAAAGTATATAATACAAATTGTTTTCTATCTTACCAATTCTATATTACCAGTAGAAACAATATGTATGTAATATACTATCTGGAGTATTAAATGTTTTATGTAGAGTTCCCCAAGGATCTATCCCTCGTCCATTTTTGCTTTTAGTTTATATAAATGATTTTTGCAATGCGTCTTTAAAACTGAACTCAGTCATGTTTGCTGATGATAAAAATCTATTTCTTATTAACAATGATATTAAGAAGTTTTATGCAGACATGAATACTGAACTAAGTAAAGTAAATAATTGGTTTAGAGCTAACAAACTCTCGCCTAACTCAGAGAAAAAAAACTACATATTATTTCATAAAAAAATACAAGAAGAAAATCTTTATCTAGCCACACTGGCCCTCAACAAATTCAAGATTGATAAAAATGTCAACAAAAACTGCTTCCAGATCCATTAAGAACTTTTTTTTTACATCACAAATCTGTTGAAATTAAAATCCTAGCTGCTCGTCCAAGATTTTTAAATGACTTTCAAATTGACTATTTTTTCCTAAAAACGTCTATTCCCAGTTTGAATACTTGAAAGGATAACTAGATTATTTGTGTATATTTCTGGTTTTTAATTAAAACAATTTTGTATTACTAAATAGCAAAGAACTATATTAAACTAAATTAATAAAATTTTGAGCTTTTATCAAGTAATTGTAAACGGAAATGACAACAAATGTGAGAAGTAATAACTATTATATTATTTATGCATATAAAAGTTATGCATATAAAAGTATCTTTATTTTTTTGGAAAATTATGAGCTAAGTCTTCAAAAATAAGTTTTCAGTATTATACTTAAGATATGCCCAACAAATCAGCAAGTAATGATGAACCTAAAGTAAAAGTGTGTGCACCATGTGGGAAAAAAATAATTTCAAAAAAAAGTCTCAGCATTTTGCAATCACAAAAAAGATAGCTGAACAAATTAAAATTTATATAAATTTAGATTCAAACATAGCAAACAGCAAATATCCTTTTAGTATATGTAGTACCTGCAGAATAACACTGAATGAGCGACAAAGATATTAAAAATAGAAAATTGCCTAAAATTCCAAACTACGAAAACACATTATTGATAAAAGAAACTAAAACTAGAGAAGATAGACAATGCAATTGCTATATATGCATCACAGCAAGGTATAATGGTCATCAACTCGTCGTTAGAGGAAGAGGTTATAAAAGAAGATTGACTTCTAACATTA